GTTGGGTTTAAGTTTTACAAGGACAGCATGAAGTTTGTCACGTGTTTGTTTATTGTTGCGTCTATTGGGATGATATATTGTATTTATCTGTATGCGATGCGAAATGTAAGCTATATTTCTTTCATATTTTATTCAAAGTATTTATAGTGGAAGTTTTACAGGCTGAAATACGCGAAATGATTATTCGGGCTTTAGATATCATTACAATTGTGGTTCCTCCAGCAATGCCCGCCGCCATGACAGTTGGTATAGTATACAGTCAAAGTCGCCTTAGAAAGTTACAGATTTTCTGTATCAGTCCTCCGAGAATTCCAATCTGTGGAAAGATAAAACTTGCTTGTTTTGATAAAACTGGTACTTTAACGCATGAAGGTTTAGAACTATATTCAGTCCTACCAAGTCAAAAGAGCACATTTAGTGAACCAGTGGAAGATGTTACCATTTTAGACGCTCAAGACCCAATTGTACAAGCAATGGCCACTTGTCACACTCTGACAAGAATCGATGGTAAAATAAACGGAGATCCGTTAGATATTAACATGTTTGAGTGTACAAAGTGGATTTTGGAGGAACCTGGCGATGAAGAAACCAATTATGACGTACTGGCCCCAACTGTGGTCAAACCTGACGTAAAGTTTAAATCATCTTCAAAAGAAAAGGAATTTCTTGGTGATCTGGAAGATATCAATTACGAGATTGGTATAATAAAACAATTTCAGTTTGCGTCGAGTTTACAGCGCATGTCTGTGATATGTCGAGTTCTTGGAGCACGCAACATGAAGATCTTCTCTAAAGGAGCTCCGGAGAAAATAGAGTCAATGTGCCTTAGTGAGACAATACCTCAGGACTTTAATACTAAGTTAGCCGAGTTTACCGCACAGGGTTTTCGAGTTATAGCCCTTGCATATAAAGATTTACCAGCGAAATTTAAATGGAAAGACGCACAGAAGGTGAAACGTGAACAAGTGGAATGTGATTTGACTTTTCTTGGATTCATTGTGATGCAGAACACTTTGAAAGAAGAAACAACACCAATTATTTCAGCACTGCATTCTGCTAATATACGTACGGTAATGATAACCGGTGATAATGTAATGACAGCCATTTGTGTAGCGAGAGAGTGTGGTATGATTGGTATCAATGACGATGTTCTTCTTTTACAATTGCG